CCCAATAGTTAAATTGTTCCCAGTAGTTAAGTTGTTATGGTTTATGTACCGGTCTAGTCTTATCCTGGCGTCAGATGAAAAGCCCTCCTCAAAGCTTCTTTCATCTCAAAGACCTGCGGATCATTTGAATGCCTTGTACTCTTACACTCAAGCCTCTGAAGTGAACATAAAGATGATACAAATTTCAATTCATGTAAGTAATTTGTCAGCTCTTTGGCAATTTGGTAGTTCACCAGCCTGTCGTGGGAGCACTCTGTTGTTACACAAAGGGTTTTTATTGAGTGTGTGGAACGTGAAACTCCATTACTGATCCATAAGTGAGAGCTGTTATGTCCTGGTCCACCAGCCTTAATCCCAAAAAACAAGATCCAAAGGCTCTCAACCTTTTGGGTGAACTCTAGGTGCTAATTAGACTCAACTGGCAGATTATCAATGAAAACATTGCCAGGCTGTTAATGAGTCTGTTCTAAAATATTATATACCCTCCAAGAAAAACTGTTTATGTCCCTAGAAGGAAGAATGAGGAAAAGTTAGCATTCCTTGGCTATCTCATTTTACAGATGAAAGGGAAATGAATTCTTCAGGTGAGTGATAGCTTTCACCTACAATAAGGAAATAATTTTTTAAAATATATAAAAAGATAACTGGTAGTATGTTGGATAGTAGAGATTTTGAGGAAAGGGAAGAAAGACTCTCTCCTTTTATAGAGAAGGAGAGGAGAATATTCTTGTGGAATCATCAAAATATGCAGTTACAGGATTTTACAGAAGACAAATAGTTAAAGAGTTAAATCAATTATGAAAATGTTTAATAAAATAATTAAAGTTTCTGAAGGTGTTTACCTTGAATTAGTTTGTGAAGTCCTTTGAGTGATCTTGACTCACACACTTTGAAATTAGGTTATTAGCCAGGTGATGCAAGTGTTGAGATCTTGTCATGTACCTTGAACATTAGGTAGCATGAAACTCTGCATATTTGAACCATCAGTGAAAAGCTGTTCTGGACTTTGAAGTCCTTTGTTCTTCCGAAGACCAAGACCAACCTACATATAAAGATACTCTTCATTTAGAGTTCATTCGTATCTTTTGCTGAGGGATGGTGGTGCTAAGAGGAGAGACCAGATCTCTGCTTTTTGCATACTTTCCATCTGTGCAAGTATTTCCAGCAGGTTGGAGTACAGCCAGGGCAGGCCACTGCCAGCTGCAGAGGTGAAACAAATCCTGTAATGATAAATGTAATGGGCAACTGCTGGGTGTAACTTCTACTAACACCATAGTTTGGCTCAGGCAGAGCGCTGCATCTAAGAACCAATACTTGAAAGCAATGTTTAACATGGATGTTCATACTTAATTTGATGTGAAAATTGCTGCACATCCTGGTGACTTACTGGGATTTCAGGTAGGAATAATGGTGATTCCTCAGATGAGAGACTGCACAGAAATTGTATCGAGAATTAGAAGCAGTTAATAAATATCACAAAGTAATAAGATCAAGTAATCAAGCTCTTTCATTAAAAGTGTGGTTGTTTGACTTTGGCATCAAAAATGAAGTTAAAATTTATGATGGGTTAAAGAAATGCACTCTTATATGTGTTTGTAGTAGCTGTAGTCATACAAACTGGGAAAACTGTGGGTTAGCCCCAGCAGTTCTGGAATGTGTTTTATTGTCTCTGGTCAGCAATTCTCATCGGTCTTCATCTTCTTTAACCTTTGCACTGCTCATAGAAATTTGGTGCTCAGCTGTATGTTTGTGTGGGATTGAAATAGTGCAGATGTGCAAAATTTGGGAATACCTATTATACACCTTGTCCTGTGGTAAAGGTGAGTCCTTGAAATGGAAATGCTTGTGAATTGAGGCCAGGCCCCCACCTCAGAGCTAAATGATTATTCACCTAAAGGAGTGAAGTCTTGAATAAGGACTATGCATCACATACACTCCCCTTAAGCAGTGTCTTGATGACTAAAATGAAACATAAAATGTACATTGGCCTTAGGAGGCAACATAATTACTGCTGTAATTCAAACGAGTCACCACAGTCTTCCAAGCAATTAAGCGGGTGCGCACTGGTGAAGATGAAAGCTTTGTCTATACTGGAATGTGAATTTAATAAGGGGAGGGAAAAAAACAGAGCAATACTAAAAGAGATTTTGAAAGGGAAAAAAAAGGGTTGATCAGTTTGGTGGATTTTGCATGCAAAAATACGGATGATTAAATAATTTCATGCATAATATATGTCTCTGGTCTGCAGGCAGTCTGGAACATGGTATAAAAGCCCATACAACACAAAACTCTTCCATCCACTTCTCTTGCCTTATTCGCCCAGGTGAACAGGTAAGTTTGAATCTACCCAGTGTCTTTTTAAATGCTAAACTGTGACTTTGATGACTGCTTTTGTTTTTGTTATTCTTAGTTCTTTATAAATATTGCTAGCTTTTTTCCAAAGAAAATTAGAAAGGCTTAATTCTATCAAAAAGAAAGGCTTTATTTACTTGTGAAGCAGGGCGTAATGAGGCAGGACTTAGAGGATACTGGCAGTATTGTCTCTCAAATCAAGCAGATTCATGCTCCATTTTAAAGACCAATGCTAAGGGAGTAGCTAGCCAATGAACCTGGTTAGAAATACAGTCTCATCGTAAGAAACTAGGACTAACCAAAAAAAAAAAAAAAAAAAAAAATAAAAAAAAAAAAAAAAAAAAAAAAAAGAAAAATTGTGCTGAGTTTCAGGATCTGTCCCCAAGCCCTGTTTTCCACAGGCAGAAGAGCAGGGATCCCAGCAGATTCAAATACACTGAATTCAAATCAAGGCAGAAACCTCTGATTGGGAAAATAATCCTTCTTCGCACTCCACGTTTGCCTGTTCTGGTCATACGACATTTGGGAGCAAAGGGTGCTTTTCAAACACTTCTTTCTATAGTTCTACAAATGCTCCTGGCTGGGTTATTAGTGACTGAGTTCTAGCATTAAGGCACGAAACCCAGTTATGTGTCAATGTTCAGCTCAGGGCCACTTTCCATGCCTGATGAGAGCTCCAGCTGCTGTTCTCCATCTCCTGGTACAGTCACAATTGCACCTTCTCCAGAGAGACAGTGCAAAGGGAAACTACTGAAGAATGGGAAATGCCTTTGCTGGTAAGGGTTAGGGCAAACTTTACCATGACTGTCACCGGAGTTCAGAGGCCAGCTGCAGAGCAGAGACATCCTCCAGCAGCCTTATAAAAATGAGAGAAACTATGTTATTTTCAGACTGCCTACTGTGGATTTTGATCTAATAAGTGATTACCTCTCTGACCACCTTCTCTGGGTACTTTCACATATGTTATCCTCTTACCTGACTTTTATAAACTTAAGACGGCTTTTATATTGCATTTAGTTTCTTCCCTGTATTTCAGACTTCCCTCTGTCCTACAGACATGTCTTGCTATGACCTGTGTCCTCCCATGCCCTGTGGCCCAACCCCACTGGCAAATAGCTGCAACGAGCCCTGCGTCAGGCAGTGCCAGGACTCGACATATGTGATCCAGCCCTCTCCCGTGGTGGTGACCCTGCCCGGACCCATCCTCAGCTCTTTCCCCCAGAACACCGCTGTGGGATCCTCCACCTCTGCAGCCGTGGGCAGCACCCTCAGCTCCGAGGGAGTGCCCATCTCCTCTGGCAGCTCCTTGGGATTTGGGAGCTTTGGCTATCCAGGCCTGGGCAGTGGGTACAGCCGGCCCTACCGTCGCTACAACACCTACCGCAGTGGCTTTAGTGAGCCGTGCTAAAGAGTGAGGAGCAAGCAGGAGCCAGGAACGCTGAAGCACGACCCAACACAGGACTGAGCTCATGGCCATGGTTTTCAGAAGCGATGTTAGATACCCACAACTCCAACTGAAGTTAATGGAGCTGTGGGAGCCTGGCATCTCCTAAAATCAGGTCTTTGCTTGTCTTATTCTTTGAATACTTCATACTTCTGATGAAACATATTTTTTTCTATTGCTGTAGATGGGACTTTATTGTCTCAGTTCACAGCAGCACTGAGAAAAGAAACCCAGGATGAAAAGACATAGTAGCTGTTGTCTTACTGAATCCTAGAAATATATGCTTTGTACTTTTTTATTCTGCTTTTTGCTCTCATTAAAGTTATTCTGCATCACAATCCAAGTCTCCTGGTGTTTGTTTGAAAAGCTTTTAGCAGCTCACTTCGAAAAATTTCTTACTGCTCCTCTGTTTTATTAATTGAAAGCAACTTTTTCATGGCGACTAGGAATAAGGATTTGGCTGATGACCTTTATGCCAAGAAATCATTTTACAGCCAGGAAACTTTGGGAACATTGTATATACAAGGTAGAGAGTTTGTTACAAAGTAGAGGCTTTTTGTAGAAATAAGTTAGATACGTTGTAGCAAAGCAGATACCAGATACAGAGTAGATACTTTGTCTACAATTACTGTAGATTTGCTACATTTCCTTCCCCCGGCGCTGGCTTTCATCACGGAGTGCGACCATGCGCTTAAACTGCTTACCAATGCTTAACCATTACCAAACTGTTACCAAATTCCTCTTGTTCATCAGAAAGCATTTCTGATGGCCATGGTCTGAGCAAAGTGGGACCCCAAAGAGAAAACACCATAAGGAGTTTGGGGGCAATGCTCTAAGAGGAGACCTGCTTCCCCTGCAAATGAGATTGAATATTTTTTGTAATTAATGCCAACTTATCAAAGGCTACTTAAATGTAGATTTGTAACCCATGTTGTAAACCGAGCTCCTGGTGCCTCTGTGTGGATCTTCATGGGCTGGTGCTAAAATAATTGGGTTTGGCAGAGGTACTTGTGCACGGTTGCAGGCATCCGTGGAGTTAAATGACAGGCTGAATTTTCACCCATGCAAAAGTCTGTAATTTCAAAGTTTATTTTGAGTATGAAACCCCTTCTCTTCTTACGGGGATGGAAAGGCTTTAAATGAATGTGTGTTAGTCCTGGGTCTCCAGCTCCAAACAAGTAGGCTGTGATCTTTTCCTTCCGAAATGACTAATGGAAGTAAATGTAAAATCAGGGACCTGGCATGTAATTGCAACAAAATGCAGGTGAGTGATAGCTCATGTAAACCTTGGCAGAAAGACACGATGCCTTGTGAAAAGGGTTTATACCAATGATTATAGGCAACCCCTTCCTCTGAGGCGATGGATTACAAGGACACGTTCATCAGTCTTGGTGGCACCAAGACATCATTCTGCAAGGAAGGTGGATCTGACACACAGGGCCATGGGTAGAGAAATACTAATTACACTCTTACAGTTTGAAATATAATTAAAATCTGCATTTGAAAAATTATTCAAACACATTTGAAAAATAACTAAAGCCCACCCATTTTGGGTGTGGTGTTTTGCAGAGGTTCTTGTGAGTAAATAGGTTCTTCCCTTTAGCATAAATTAATTTTTTTTTGTTGTGTTCTTCTACTGTTCCCCATTGAATTCCAGCATAATGACCACGCTACACCTGGCTCTTTGCAGAAATACTCCACAGGTCTGTATGCAGTAGTTAGTTACATTTATTTTTTGAAAAAAAAGGAAATTGTAACATAAATTGTTTAAGCTTATTAGACCACAGTAAGATGCAAAACCAAACCTCAAACTTTAGTAATTTTAAAGTTCTTCATAACAGTATTTGAATAACATTAACAATGAAAATAGCTATATTCAGGTATGAACTTTGAGGACTACATATCTACATATATTGGAACACCTGTGCCTTCAGGGGAGCTATTTGAGCAGTAGAAGCTGAAGTTGTAAAGCTCAAGTCACAGGCTCTGCCTACACCGAAAGGCAACTCAGATTACACATACAGCATGTACTATTCAGCAGCCTGGGCCAAGCAACAAATTACAGCAAATAACGAGTCGTGGGTTGCAATAGAAACAGCAATGCCATGCAGAGGCATCCAGTCTGGCTGAACTAAACAACCTTAAGCTGTTTAGATACATCTTCTGTTTTAAGCAATAAGCCAGAAATTGCTAATACCGTGAGGGGATTAGCAGAGTTCACTCTTAGTTGCCTCGAACCAGGTGCCCTAGATTACTGTGTGAACTTCAAACAGCTGTGTAGGATATGCAGGCTGTTGCTAATGCTGTTAATAAGCATCTATATTAGCACAATTAGCTAAGAATGAAGCCTGAGATAAAAGCAAGAACTATCAGAGCTGTTGTGAATGGTGAGAGAAGGGAATGGCATGGGAGGGCTCTGAGTTGCAAGAACCTTTACAGATTTGTTTAACAGCCCAAAGCCTCTGAGGCATCCATTTCTTTATAATGAGATAATTAATTACAATTCAAAATTTATTGTAGATGGCATTCTTCTGGCCAGGGAAACTTCTATTTTCTGTGTGTCTGTTTCTCCATGCACAGATTTTGGGGTCGCTTTTGTGTCTGGAGCCATTACGTGGGGATTACTGTGGGTAAGGTTCTAGTTCCATTTTGATTAAAAAATTTTTTTCAGACATTTAGTCACTCACAGGTGTCCCAGGAGGATGTTCTCACATTATGCAAAAAGTTTTAATTATAATCTGAATATATAGGTCTGCCCTTGATTATAGAAAAAAGCTGTGAACTTCTGATTTGCTCACTTTAATTCATCTCAAAGATCAGGCCATTAAGTCATTCTGACTGTACAATAAAGTGGCTGGAGTTAGAACAATAATTGTTGTAATTATTTTCAAGGAGGGCTGTAGGCATCTCTGAAAATGTTGCTAGATCCTTTTTTTAAATTCATAGTCCAATTTTAAAAGTATTTTGTGTTTTCCAAGCAGAGTTTGGATGAAGGAAGAATTAAAAAAATTGATGAAAATAATCTATGGATACTGTTATGCAAATTAATTCCTCAAATAACTGCTAGATTCCAGCTGCTATAGAGGAAATTATTTTTTTTAAAAGCCTGCTAATCCCTTAGAACATGGAGAAGTACTGAGGAATGGACAGGGTTGGTGAAGCTAAAAAAGGCTAGGGTGATTTATTTGAGAATCTCCTTGAAATATGGGACGGCTTAAACCAAACCTTGAGCTATTTTTTAATTAAAAATAAAATAGCTGTAATTCCTGCAACCAGGAACAATGACATGAATTTTAGAACCTAGTGACTGACCTGCAGTCCCAAATCTTAATAATATATTATTACAGAAGTGATATGAGAATTCAAATATAGGTCACATATCTTAAATTTGCACATCATATGATACTTTGCATGCCTAGCACTTTAATAAAAGCTTCTGATAAACTTTGAAGTTCTCAGGAACCCATGACCAAGGCAAACAAGTTTCTGTTCCCAGGGGATCTTCACAAAGACACTCCTAATTTAGAGATGATTTACATGTCTCAGTGGTTAAAGTGCTAGCAGAGCAAAAACCTCAGTACTAATCTCTGTGTCTAGGATTCCTTATGTATTTTACCCCTTTACTATTTATCCTGCAAGCCCCCCTGTAGAAGAGGCTCAATTTCATTGTGCGAGCCAAAGACTGCTGTAAAGTGACAGCAAAGTTGACAGCGAGTGAAGAAATTGTTGACACTTTATATACTTTTGACCCTTCTCCAACTGGCTACCTTTGGTCTATAACACATCTGTACCAGACACTGCAGGGACAGCTGGAGAAATGCATGTTGCGATAGGAAAGGAAGAATTCTTGTATGTGACTTCTGCCTCCACAGCTGAGTTTTGCAAAGCCTTATCTTTTGCAGAACTCTTCCTTGAGAACAAATGTCACCAAGCGATGCAACATATTTTTGCATGTGGAAGTTAACCTAAAACCTAACCTAAAAGTTGCTGATGTTTTGAGGTCTGAGATAAGAATAAAAATGGATTTGTGGACTCTTTAGATAAAGAACTACTAAGAGATCAGGCCCAGAATTAGAGGCAGCCAGGAAAGAGCCTGTATTAATAAGATTTGTCCTTCAGACTCTTCCACAGAAGTGCTATCATTTGATATTATCTCGTTAGACTGGACTTCTAATACTCTTTTTTCTTTTTTCTTCCATGTCAAAGAAGCTGTATCTTAAGTGGTTTTATAGTTATATCACAGCCTTTGTACACAGCCGTAACACTTTTCAGTTCCTCCCGACTCTCACAGGGTTCTTCAGTGTCCTTTCCTTTTAACAGCATTTGTGCTGCTTCTCTCATTTTGGGTCTGGAGTTGGGTGAAAATTGTGTATGTATCCCTGGCCATTTTCTGACAAAAGCAGTCTCTCTTCTCTTTTCCTTAAAAGCAGCTTGAATCCTCAAACTACAAGTGCTCATGGGTTGACTTCCAAAAGCTGAAATTCTTCATGATTTCCAACAGTATTTACCTTGCAGAGGACGGTACAAGGGACTGCATTATGTAAATTATGCTTAATCTCCTTTAATCACACCAGGCAGATCCAAAAGGTTTTTGAAGGCAGACTAAATTCTTCTGAATTAATCATTCTAGTGTTCCCAGAAATTAACTTGGTCCAGAATATTTTAAGATGAAAGAAACTTGTGGTCAGATATACATGCCACAAGATAAGGAAGTGAAGCAGTAATAAACACAAATACTGAGGCAAAAAAACATGTAATCAGTAGTGGCTCATAAACAACTTCATGCACAAAGAATGTCCCAAGTTGCCTAACAACTTAGGACTCAGTATAAAAACCTGAGCAACTCAAGGCTCTTCCATCCATTTCTCTTGCCTTCTTTGCCTTGGTGAATAAGGTAAGTCTGAACCCATTTATTCTCTCTTTATATGTTGAACTGTTGCCTGGATGATTTTGTATCTTTTCCTCACTAATGTTGTAGTACATTCAACTTTTTTCTCTGAGGGAGGAAGGGGTTTTCATATGAAAGAGGAAGTTTTCTGTTGGTGGTCAGTTATAAAAATCATTGAATGGGGCAATTAGCCACAAGTTAGCCAGCTAGGTCTGTTTATTCAACTTTGGGATCCAAACAAGTTTTCAGGTCCTGCAGCTGAACCTAAAATATCTGCAGTGAATTCTTGGATCTGTTCAGAGTAATGTGCTGATCTGTGGAAAATGCAGCTAAGGCCAGAAGATCAGGAGCACACGGGGATGCTGACCGATACTGGTAGTCCTGGGTCACCAGCTCTCCACATAGAAAGCAATCATCAGTCCATGCTTGCCTTTGAAACTCAGTTTGTAGTTCTTCCACAGGCAAGGAATGACCTTTAACCAGTTGCTGCTCCATCCTCCAAACAGCTGTGGACAGATTTGCACTGTAGCTTCTGAGATCTGATGATGATTTTAATAGCAATACACAAAAATAGAAGTGCTCCTGAATTCAGCTGCCTGTCCTTCCATGTCTTATTGAACAGATTTTAAGTGCTTAAGCTTCTATTTTTCCACTTTCTAAAACTGGGAGAAGGGACCTCCAAGATGGAACACACATGAGAGGAAGCGATAGGAATGAAATGGAAAAGGTTATTTGCTGTATTAGCATTAAGTAGGTGGTTTGTCATCATTGACTGTTTAGCAAAGAGGCAAGCCTTGGATCAGGAATAACAAGCTGAGTCTTACCCGTTCCAGCAGAGCACCTTCATCTGAAGGCTACAGAGTCAACCTCCATTTCTCTAGGACACACAAAGCCCTAATAGTTTTCCTGTGTGCAGCCACAACTGCAGGAGGAAGTGTTGAAAGTGCCTTTTCCCAGGGTAGTGTTACAGCCGTGTGGTTAGGGCACTGTCTGCAACGTGAATGAAGAGGCTTTCAGCACCAACATGTACCCTGGTTCCTGGGTGAGTTGACTAACCACAGAGGCTTCAGGGTAAGTTCCTGACTGAGATGCACCAGATGCACCACTGCTTCCCTAGCAGTCTCCTTAAAGACAATGCAAGCTTAACCCTGTTTTCAAAGTACTTCCTCTGGATCTGGTGAAAAACGTCATCTTGCTCCCCATGGAATCTCTCGTTAGTTTGTTATATACTCCCCTTATCAGAGAATTTCAGCTGTACAAAGAGAGTTTTATTTAAATTCTTGTATTGCATTTCTTTCTTTTTTTGTGCTTCAGATTTACCTCCATCCCACAGACATGTCTTGCTATGACCTGTGTCCACCCACCCCCTGTGGCCCAACCCCGTTGGCGAATAGCTGCAATGAGCCCTGCGTCAGGCAGTGCCAGGACTCGACAGTGGTGATCCAGCCCTCTCCCGTGGTGGTGACCCTGCCCGGACCCATCCTCAGCTCCTTCCCCCAGAACACCGCTGTGGGATCCTCAGCATCTGCGGCTGTCGGGAGCGCGCTCAGTGCTGGAGGGGTCCCCATCTCCTCTGGCAGCTCCTTGGGATTTGGGAGCTTTGGCTATCCAGGCCTGGGCAGTGGGTACAGCCGGCCCTACCGTCGCTACAACACCTACCGCAGTGGCTTCTATGGGCCGTGCTAAAGCGTGAGGAGCAAGCAGGAAGAAATGACCAGGAATGCTGAAGCACGACCCGACGCAGGACTGAGCTCATGGCCATGGTTTTCAGATGTGATGTTAAACACCCACAACCTGCAGTTAATGGAGCTGTGGGAGCTTGGCATCTCCTAAAATCAGGCCTTTGCTTGTCTTGCTTTTGTTATGCTTTACTTTATATTTCTGATCAAATGTCTTGTTCTCTTATGCTTTTTTGTATTTGACAATGACTAGGTAAAATATGTAATTATTAGAAATTGTTCTGCATGACTGAATTAGTACAGTCCACTTAAACAATGAAGAAGGAAGATCTCATTTTGCTGAGTGTGTCATTGTGAGAGGGATGAGTGGGTACTGTCCTTAGCGGACCATGGAAATTTATTCCTTACACTTTACGTTGCTTCCTTCTATTCCTCAGCCTCATTAAATTTGTGCTGCATCACACTCTGAGTCTGCTTGTGCTTCTTTCTTCTCCCAGCCCCTTTTCCAGCTTGTCTGTGGTGAAACAGTTCCCTTTGCAAGTCGTCAGTTCCAGAAAACGCTGTGCAAATAACTTCATGCCAATTGCAAAGGAGAACGAGTCAGGTTTCAGCTGTGGAAAAAGTTTTTCTTTTGTCTATACATGGTAAATCAAGGCCAAGGCAATTTATCAAAGGCTAGAAAGAGATGATGTTCACCTGCAATAGGTGTGTCTCCTGTTGTTGCATAAGCAGGAAATCTTAAAGTAAGGGAGCTGCTTCTGTTTACATTTTAAAGACCCTTTACCTACTGTACCACGGAGATCGAAAAAGGCCCTTTAACTGTTTTAATACTGCTCTTTTATGAGAACATGTTTGTTTTGAGATGGATGTCTTTGAAGAGGGATGCGAATGGGGCAGTAAGCTGATTTGAGAAGGGGGGTTAGCTCCCCTTCAAAGAGAAGTGGAATAGCCTAATTTCAGGGGAAAGCTCACTGAGGGGAATACTGTTTCTCCTTATCCTTCTGTAGATGTAACAGACAAAGAGTGTCTACATAGAAAAGAGGAGAGAGAGAGATGGAGCAGGAAAATCTACAGGGGCACGAGGAACACTAGAAATTATAGGGATAAACCTTTTTCTGAAACGCTACCTCCACTCATCTGTTCTCAGCTTGCTGCACAAATAGGATGTATGTGCTATTACCTGGGCAACCTGGAAGAAGACTGTGGTTTTCTTTAGCCTATCTGTGATACTTAGGAAGACCCCTTTAAAAGAAGGGAGAGATTATGCTTTGCCTGAGTACAGCTGAGCTTGCTCAGGGCAGAGGTGGTGGGAGAGAGGCAGCAAGCTGGTGCAGCCCAGAGCTTTCCGATGGGTGCAGCACCTCTTGGCAGCTGAGGTCAGGCCCTGGTAAGTCTTGGAGGAGAGGAAGAGAAGGCTTTGTGGTGTTTTTGCAAGGGAATTGGCCTTTAAAATCTGCTGGCCTGGGAAGCACATCTGGGAGAAAGAGATTAAAAGATTTTAAGTTCTAACCCTTTCTCAGTGTGTCTATAAACTGACTCCTACCTGTTGTGCCTGGTAGACATGAACTTTATCAGGCATTGTTTTGTTCTAGCTCGATCATCTGTGTTGTAATAAAGGTAGTGTTTAGAGACTGGGAGCTTTGGTCCCTAAAGGAAGAAGGTTTGAAAAGCTCTACCTGAAGGCTTTGGATGATTCAATGTCCTGTCAGCCTATACAACTCACAGCCTGATATCAGTGAAGTTTCTTGCTTGGAGTCTTTGTCTGCGTCTGTACAGTCTGATGTTGAACTGTAAAGCAAGGGAAAGATGTTGACAAAGTTATATTGACTACAGTCATTAGTGGAGCTAAATTAAAGGAGGTACAGCAGTTCCATGAAAGAATTAATAATTTTAAGGAGTAGGTTTTCTTAATAAACAACAGAAGAGAATGGAAAGTTAGCAGTTTGATATTATAGTACAGCAGAACATTGGTCTGAATTAAATGTGTAATATATTTTTTGCCATCTCAACTGAAGCTATTGCTTGATCAAAGGGGGTGCATTCCAAAGAAGTCATCATTCATTTGCAGTTCTGGCAAAATAGCTTTCTCTTGTGGAGTTCGACCTGCGCATCTAACACAGCAGAGAAGTTACAATTCCACAGTATCGGTATGGCTGGAAAGAGTTATGGCTGAGGCACCGCTTTGAAGGTATCTTTAACATATTCAGGTGGACAGATAAATGACATTTCTCATCACAAAGTACATTTTCCTACCCTTGCAATCCCCTTCTGCAATTCTCTGTTAAGCTTTCTTCTGATCAACGTCACCAAACCTCTCCACAGAGGTAACTCC